TATATTGCATTTATACTTCGAATTAACATATTTGTTTAAATTTTGGCAAGTATCATCTATATGCAGATGATACTCAGCTGTATTATTCTTTTAAAAACAATGACAGTTTAGATATTAATGATAAAATTAATCAAGACCTTTCTACAATTACAAATATCTCAACTAAGCATAATTTAATAATAAACGCGAAAAAATCATTGGCCATTCTTTTTGCTAATGAGGCCCAAAAATGGCAAGCTCTGAATCAGCTAACATTGAGGTTAAACAATAGATTTAAAATTGAGATTTAAGAAAGATGTAACGAATAGAATCCGTAAAGCTTATGGGTCTCTAAAGCTTATTTTTAATCTAAGAAGCTACCTAAATGCTGATACTAAAAAAAAAACTTGTGTGAAACCCTGGTTTTATCTCATTTTAACCACTGTGACGTAGTATACACCCCTTGCTTAGATAATTGTGATATGCGCCGTATTTAAAAGTATCAAAATTCTTGTCTACGGATGATTTATGGTATCAGGAGAAGAGAACGGATTTCACAGAAACAGGATGGTTGAATATGTCAAACCGTCGTAAATTACATTCATTGTGTTTTTTATATAAAATACTTAAAAATAAAACTCCATTATATTTGCACAGTAAAGTTAGATTCCAAACCGATATCCATAATTTAAATTTAAGAAGAAGATATATTATTGATACTTCCGCTCATAATAATGAATTTTCTTACGACCACTTAGGAAAGTGACACATATCACACTATATAGTCTTATGGAAAGTGCCTTATATCACATGCGTATAAATAAGAATTTACTTTCCACCCGTGTGCGAATATGCTACTTTCCGCATCAGCTGTCACAAAATGTCAAACGCATCATTTCTATTTTGATCTATGTAATGTCCATATTATTAATAGATATTAGATATTAATAGATATGACTGTTAAATTATTGAAATTGTTGTAAATTAGATCCTAGATATTTATCTTTAACAATTAATATTAAAATAATTTTAAAATAACTAACTCATGTTTGCTTTTTATTCTGGTTACATACATAACCGATTAGATCATTCAATTGACGCAAGGCCTATTAGCTCAGGTGGTAGAGTATCAAACTTTATCAATTTTGCCATTTAAGACCTGGCGAGCGACCGCGTTCAAATCCTTGCGGGGCCAGAATTTTTTTTATTTTTTTTTGTTTTTTAGTTTTTTTTTTTTAAATATGAAAATTGGATAAATACGATTATTATTGATTGTTTTTTAAATTCATTTTATTTATTGTAACATAAACCTCGTTTTACATTTCCGCTTGAGCTGTCACATAATGTCAAATGCATCATTTCTATTTTGATTTATGTAATGTCCATTTTAATAGTAAAGTCGATTTGATGATTAAATTGTTAACATTAATTTTTAAAAATAAATCCTAGATATTTCTTTTTAACAAATTATTAAAATAATTTTAAAGTAACTACGTACATTATTTTTGTTTTTCCAGGTTTACATACATATTTAATAAGATAAGCCAAATCACACAGCCAAAATATTATATTATAATCCCTACAATATTTTGTACTATTATATTTACTGTTAAAAAAAAAATTGTGGGTAAAGAAGTGAGTAACCATTAATAATAAAAAAGCTTTTGTTTACGATTGTTCAACTTATTTGTTTAAAACAATTGTAACTAATGTTATTTTATCTTTATAATCCTATGAAATTGTTTGTAAATGGAATCACAATATTTTTAATTTTGACAAAATACTATCTGTAATGTAAAACGCTTGAAAAATGATTCAATAAGGCATATAAAAAACAAATCTAAAACCAGCTAACCTTTATAGCCAGATTTTCTAGTTTTGCATTTTTTTGATAAAATTATTTTGTGGTCGTAGAAAAAATATAAAGTGATTTTTCACACGTGCGTGATTGTCGCACTCGGCTTATGCCTCGTGCGACAATATTTCTTGCGCGAGTGAAAAATGTCACTTTGAACACTCTTAATGTAATATACTATATTTAAAAGATACTTCTCTTATCAAATATCTGCTGGATGTACCATTTTATAGTGTATCAATAGAATGTTTCAGAAAAACTTAAAAAAACGGTTATTAGCAGAACAAATGAACTGGCAATAACGAATATGAATATTCAGTTCTGTTAAGATTTTTTAAATGTATTATTAAATTAGAATTTTAATTTTGGGCTCCAATAGCATTATAGAACTGTATTAAGAATCGGTTTTTGAAACTAATACTGTACCATTTATTTACCAATGTTTGTTATTTTAAAACATATCTGTAATCAGTTTTTTGTTTTAGTAAATAATAAATTTATTATTATATGTAATTAATCATTTATTTAATAAAATTGTTCCACTAGATGACCCTCAAAAAACGTTAATTAATAAATAAGGAATCGGGAGTCTAAATAATAAATAAAAATATACTCTGTAAAGAAACTACTGTCAACACAATAGTTGTTACAATATATAGACAAATTTGGCCAGTCCTTGTTTCAGGTGGAGTTGAATACCGGAAAAGATAGGCGTCCCATTACACTGCGCGGAGAGATAAGACAATTATTACACGTACAATTGTCTTCACACCAACAAAGAGAGTTTGCGTACAGAGATATTCTATGAAATGGAAGAGCTATATCTCAATTTCGATCGAATGGAAAGCGGTAGAACAGCCTTAATCCATTCTCAAGCACAAATTCTTCATTCTCATAATATTCTGTTATTTCTTTTTTCTTTAATTTCTATAATAATTTTATTATTTTGCTGTCTTCTATAATGAAAAAGAAGAAGATTGGTTTCACTGTAGACACCAAAATACTGTTAAAATAGGTACCTACTGAAATCTATTCCGTTAATTCATGAAAAAAGCAAGCTGCTTCAATTTCTAAGCCCTGTTAGATTATAGGAATTTTTAGAAATTTCTGCGCAATTGACAATTCTTTTGTTTTACCGTTTTGAACTAAAACTCTGCAAATCAAAATCAAAATCTTAACAACGAATCTAACCGCCATGCTGCGTATCATCATAACTAATTAAAAAACATAACCTAATTTAGGTCTGATATAGCCGTGGCCCCTCTTAATGCTTTTAAGAACATGTATCTCAGCGGGACGGCCACAAGAAAAAAATGAAATCTCCATTAAATCGAACATTTTAGATTTTAAATTTGAAATTCTAAAATTGTGCTTGGTCATCCACTTCGTTAAGACTTTACTAATTATTATACGAGAAACGGTTTTAAGAGTTTTGAGCGGTTTTTGGACATGTGATGGGAATAATTAAGATTTGTTGGAAATCTTCAAGAAAGTTAAATGAAGTTATAAACACACTGAGAGACGAAGAAGGAAATTAATTTATACAGGATGTTTCGTAAGCTAACTTTTTTTTGATAAAACTAAAAAAATAGATTATGGATCTGTTTTGTTTAAAAATTATCATTACTTTGTCTAATACTTTGTTCGCATGTGTGTCGGCACCATAAACAAAGAAGAAAACAGAAAAAAATAGATACAGAAGAAACAGGAAAATATATAAAAATAAGTTTCATTGAAAGAATGACAAAAGTAAACAATTTGCAATAAGAAAGTATAGCAAGCAACAGAATAAACTTAAAAGAAGATACAAAACAAACAAAAATGGATGGGAATATCATTTAAACAAGACCCAAAGGAAGTGAATTTGAATGAAAAAAAGACAAACAAGAAATTAATGAAACATTAAAAGAAATGGTGAGAATCAGAGGCGGCTTGTCTAAGGAGACAACAGAGGCTAAGCATCCCTAACATTATTTGAAATTAGTAAGTAAACTAAAATCTCGATTTTCAAAAGTAAGTTTAAAAGTACCTATTATTTTACTGAATTCCCCATATTACTGCACATAATTTTGGTTTGGCAACAGCGCAGGAGAGTGACCTCCAATACAAATATTATATGCTTTGGCCAAAACAACGTTTTCTGATCTCATGCGAAATCATACACGCTATCAATAGGCTTCTAAATAATGGAAAATTGGCAACCCCCACAGAAGGCAAATTTAGCGAGGTGAGTACCTTGCATTCGTTTGTCACCGGGTCTCGTCTCTGGATATTTAATACAGGTATTTCAAATCTACCATATCCTTCTGCTTTCCTCCTTCTCCGCCCCCGTTCATCATTAACAAGAACAAAACTAGTGAGTGTGGTTGGTAATTCACATAGAGGTTGAGGTTAGGTTTTGTGTTTTATTTTCGTTATGTAAGACATATTACTCAATTCTCCCACTTTACCTTTCAAATGATGTCTTACTTGACCATACTTGCCTTTTCTGAATATGATAGTCATTTCGTCAAGTAAATGTGTTTTTTTAAATTTTGAAAAACTCCTTTGTTTCTAAAAGTCTGGGGGGCCAAGTTATCGTTTGTACATCCTGTATACATAAATCCTTATATAATTTTGTCAAGAATCACTGTTTTTTTTTTTACAAAGAAATAAACAGTTAAACATCTAAAAATAGCCACAAAAATTGAGCATTCAAGTTAATTTTCAATCGGAAACGCTCAATATCAAAAAAAATCTAGCCTGTCTGTTAATTTATTGCTTTCAAAAATTTTATGACATTATTTTACGGCTATCTTATAAATGAGGCGCATTTAAACTAATTTTGTCGTTGACAATTATGTAAATTTATTCTAAATTAACATTTTTATTGGTAGATATTTGTTTCGAGACGATGCAAGAGAGTTATAACTATGATTATAAAGAAAAATTTGGTAGAACAAAAATGTATTCAATGCAGTGAACCCTTATAGTTATGGTTATTATTAAGGGATATATAGTATGGGGCAAATAAAAGGATACATTAATATATCGTACATAGTTGACTTCTAGAAAAAATTCTGAAACCAGTCGATTTATTTAGGTTTTTGCACTGATCAAACATTTTTATTACAATTATTAGTATTTTTATTTATTAAATAAAGCAAATACTAATAATAAAGCAAAATTATTCTAATTCTTCTGAATCTTCTGAATCTTCTGAATCTTCTGAATCTTCTGAATCTTCTGAATCTTCTGAATCTTCTGAATCTTCTAATTCTTCTGAATCTTCTGAATCTTCTGAATCTTCTGAATCTTCTGAATCTTCTGAATCTTCTGAATCTTCTGAATCTTCTGAATCTTCTGAATCTTCTGAATCTTCTGAATCTTCTGAATCTTCTGAATCTTCTGAATCTTCTGAATCTTCTGAATCTTCTGAATCTTCTGAATCTTCTGAATCTTCTGAATCTTCTGAATCTTCTGAATCTTCTGAATCTTCTGAATCTTCTGAATCTTCTGAATCTTCTGAATCTTCTGAATCTTCTGAATCTTCTGAATCTTCTGAATCTTCTGAATCTTCTGAATCTTCTGAATCTTCTGAATCTTCTGAATCTTCTGAATCTTCTGAATCTTCTGAATCTTCTGAATCTTCTGAATCTTCTGAATCTTCTGAATCTTCTGAATCTTCTGAATCTTCTGAATCTTCTGAATCTTCTGAATCTTCTGAATCTTCTGAATCTTCTGAATCTTCTGAATCTTCTGAATCTTCTGAATCTTCTGAATCTTCTGAATCTTCTGAATCTTCTGAATCTTCTGAATCTTCTGAATCTTCTGAATCTTCTGAATCTTCTGAATCTTCTGAATCTTCTGAATCTTCTGAATCTTCTGAATCTTCTGAATCTTCTGAATCTTCTGAATCTTCTGAATCTTCTGAATCTTCTGAATCTTCTGAATCTTCTGAATCTTCTGAATCTTCTGAATCTTCTGAATCTTCTGAATCTTCTGAATCTTCTGAATCTTCTGAATCTTCTGAATCTTCTGAATCTTCTGAATCTTCTGAATCTTCTGAATCTTCTGAATCTTCTGAATCTTCTGAATCTTCTGAATCTTCTGAATCTTCTGAATCTTCTGAATCTTCTGAATCTTCTGAATCTTCTGAATCTTCTGAATCTTCTGAATCTTCTGAATCTTCTGAATCTTCTGAATCTTCTGAATCTTCTGAATCTTCTGAATCTTCTGAATCTTCTGAATCTTCTGAATCTTCTGAATCTTCTGAATCTTCTGAATCTTCTGAATCTTCTGAATCTTCTGAATCTTCTGAATCTTCTGAATCTTCTGAATCTTCTGAATCTTCTGAATCTTCTGAATCTTCTGAATCTTCTGAATCTTCTGAATCTTCTGAATCTTCTGAATCTTCTGAATCTTCTGAATCTTCTGAATCTTCTGAATCTTCTGAATCTTCTGAATCTTCTGAATCTTCTGAATCTTCTGAATCTTCTGAATCTTCTGAATCTTCTGAATCTTCTGAATCTTCTGAATCTTCTGAATCTTCTGAATCTTCTGAATCTTCTGAATCTTCTGAATCTTCTGAATCTTCTGAATCTTCTGAATCTTCTGAATCTTCTGAATCTTCTGAATCTTCTGAATCTTCTGAATCTTCTGAATCTTCTGAATCTTCTGAATCTTCTGAATCTTCTGAATCTTCTGAATCTTCTGAATCTTCTGAATCTTCTGAATCTTCTGAATCTTCTGAATCTTCTGAATCTTCTGAATCTTCTGAATCTTCTGAATCTTCTGAATCTTCTGAATCTTCTGAATCTTCTGAATCTTCTGAATCTTCTAAATATTCCGAATCTTGGAATAGTTTGACACGTGTTTTTACGTTCTGCGCTATTTTGTCCTGCGCTATTTTGAGCTTGCGCTATTTTGTTTTGCAGTATTTTGTCCCATTTTCTATCCTCGAAATTAACTCATGTTACAATGCATGGTACTATGCATTTACTTGTGAAAAATATGCAGCAATAAGTTTGATTAATATTGTATATCTTACAAAATCTTTAGATACTTAAGTAATTAATATTGAAATTAAATAGATATTTAGTTTCCGTTATTAACCAAATGTTAAAAGGTTAAAACTTAAGTAATTTATATTGAACTCAAGTAATTTATATTAAAACAACGTAGATATTTAGTTTCCGTTAATAACCAAATGTTAAAAAGTTGGAATTTAATAACGTTTTCTAAGACTTTCATTTAATTTAAACTAACGTTGATATTATATGCATATTTAACAAAGTTATCAACTTTTAATTATATTTCGCCCTGTATACAAAATAGATGTTTTAAGTAGTAACGTATGGTTAAGATTATGACTCACCTTGTAAATTCTATTACCACAACTGTTGCTAGACTCCAACAACCTGTTGATCTCCTAACAATACAATAAAATAAAAATCTAAGAATCTATCAAAAATAAAAAAAGATCGTAAACTGAGGCATTTTCGTAAAAGCATAAACTTAATGACAATATTCTCATGCTCTAGTCTCCAGATTTTATTTTCAAATCCCAGCATTTGTTCTTTTATGTCTGACCATAAAGATATATATTTCAAAACGAAGTCAAATCGTATTATATATATCTGGTTTCTGTAAAAATAAAATTGGTCGTAAAACAAGAAACAGGGATCCGAGAAATGTATTATAAAATTAAAAATACCAATTTAAGATATTTTTTAATTACATAATTTCGTGCATTGGATCCTTAAAAAGGCGATATTAATAAACCTTTTTCTGGATATAAGAAATTTAGCTTCAATTCCAACTACTCTTCTTGATAACTAAGAATAAATGCACATTGCGATCTTTATTCATAAATCCAGCATATCGCATAAAAAATTTAATCTCAGTTTCATCTAAATTTTTGAAATCTCTGATTATTTTGAATCTTGTAGGTCCTTTTCTTTATGTTAATTCACAATAGACTAACTCATGACCAAACATGAGCTCCACTGGTAGTAAGTACACTTGTATGTTAGATCATCAGCTCTTCATTAGATGAAGCCACCAAAAACTAAATTCTTGGAAATTCTCTCAGAAACCATGGCAACGCATTCGCATTGATTTCGCAGGACCTATTTAAAGGACATCTTATTTTAATGTAGTGGATTCATGTTCAAGGTGAATTAAAACCATTCCGACAAAAATAAAAGCTACTTAAACATAAAACAACTTAAATAGTCAATTATTTACAACATTTGGTTTGCCGATTAAACTGGTATCTGACAATGGATTAAAATTTACCTCAATTTCTTTTTTTTAACAAGGAGAATACAGCATAAATCCTTGACTCTACATGCTTCAGTACATTAGAAGTGAAGCTATGTAGAATTTTAATGAAAAGTAATCAATGCTTCAAGAGAAAGTGCTTATTACATAATGGTTGGAAGAAATATTCGAACTAGATGAGATCTATCAACCAAAATAAAAGGCCAGCATAGTATAAGAGACAAAAAGTAAAAAATAAGAACATTTGAGGACGGGAAGAAAGTACAAGTTCGTGAACACGGAGGAAAATTTAAATTGGTTTTTGGAACAGGGCTAAAGAAACTTGGAGAACTGTATTAAGAATTCTCTTTAGGTAATGGTAGACAGTGTCGCCGATATTTAGATCAAATGCTAGCTACTAAAGTGTAGTTTGAATGTGACAAGATTTTGTACATTCATCAATGTATGTTAAGATATAAATGCGGAATATAATTAATACTACTACTACTACAACATATAAGAAAAAAAGTATTTTGATCCACCGGCTGCCCACGTGCTCTCATTTAAATCCGCTTCTGTACGTCACCGATACCAAAATCCTTTTAGGTTTCATCCGAAACAACAAATCATTTCTGTCATTATATCAGAAATCTGAAAAAATCCGTTTAATCATTATCCATTCCCATGATTATGAATCTTTTTATGCATAAGTTCTTTAAAAATCCCGGCGCTGTCAAATAATTTTGATAGAGGTTTTTTAACATCATTCGATTCCTCGACTGGTCTTTCAAATGAATCCGGGGCCCTTATCTGATTCAAAAACATAATTAGTATGTATTGAAATTTTCAAGTCATCCACTGATATTTATCGACTCGGAATTCGTAGCTTGCTGCGATTTACTACACGTATACTTCGAGATGGTCTATTGTTTTTTAGTCGTATAGTGCGGCGGCACTATAAAACTTTTTTGTAAACCTCTTTAAATCGCTTTCACGTAATAACTATTTATGAAACCAGTTACGAAATGCCTTAGTTTATGTAATGAGTGACTATTTGCAAGGCGAGCAGAACGAGGTCCCGTAACATACAATATTTTTTCTAATTTTGACTGGATTATTTATAAAATTATGTTTTGCTACAAAATTACTGACATTCAGGCAACCAATTTACTTCATTCTTTTACTGACAAATAGAAAATCATATTTGTTGGTGTTGTCATGTGTTTATATTTCTTGTTAAAGTTATTTACATTTCAAATAAGTAAGTTATTTTGTCGTGTATTGTTTTAATTATTTTGTGATGATGTAGAATGGAAAATAGGGACCAAAACAACATTAATACTAGGTTGTAATGTAACCTATGTCCAACCCAAACGAAAAGGGGGTTAAGGATATAAGATAGATATATAGGATTTGTTCGTCAATAAAGTATTTCTTTACATGTATTTGCCTAAAATAAAACTTATCCGACTAGTCAAAACACACAAAACACTTTTCTATTATCCAGTTCTCAACAATTTAAAATTAAATTTTATACTTAATTAAAATAGACATAGGTAAACTCGTTTTATGATACCCTTTTTGTGTAATTTAAGAAATTTCAGATATTGTGAAATACATGCAAAAATTTACCAATAAAATTCCCTTCTCGCAATGGAACTTGGTTTATTAGTTGTACGAACACAGCACATTTCATTTAACTGGGACATAATATATTTGTGGTGAATGTTCTCAATAATTTTCACGAGCACAAAACAACAATTTTTATTTACAAACTATCGCCGAATCAGTTTATTAGTTTATATTCGCTGGAAATCGATTTCAATGTATTTGAGGTTATATTTTGTTGTTTATTTAAGTGACCGCTAGACAGCTGTCAGATCATAAGTAGGTAGCTACCAGATCATAGGTAATGAAATGGCTCCAGAGAACATTTAAGACTGTATTCCACAAATACCACCGAAGCGTCCGGACTATACCTCGAACCGACGTGTTGGAAAAATTCTGCGATATAAAAAACTTCGATTTATAGGTATATTTTCTCAAAATGGACCAATCACGTATTATAATTGTTAATATTAACTCCTTTAGTTACAACGTATCTCCGACTATGAGCCTTTTTTTATATAGAGTCATGTCATTCATCTCATTGTTTTCTATCAAGATTTTAACTTTAACTCTTTTTTTTTCTTATTCTTGTTCGTATTATTTATTTTTTAATGCATGATGGTGAGTGAGTAAGGCGGCGTAGAGTTTAAGGAATGGTCGAAACGATTCATAATCTTTGATAATAAATGGAATTTATGCTTTGATTGGTTAGATTGGAATGAGAATCGCGGCTACGAGGGTAAATCGAAGAATTCACAGAAAATTTGGACAATTTTGAATAACAGGATACGCAGTTATAAAATTTATATACAGAGTGTCCCAGAATATGTGGGCAATCTCATGGATTAGAATGGAACACAAAAATAACATAACAAGTTCTTACAATGTTTTTTTATTTTGGTATTGTCAGATACGTAATTTTGGAAATATTAAAATGAATGATCTCCAATTCCCCTTACAAAATTATTGAAAATACATCCCCATATCCCAAAAGTGAAAAGAAATCAAAGAAAAACTTTAAAAATTGAGAACATGTAATATTCAGACTATAGCCGTCCGTGCCTCTACCACTTGGACTATAGAGACCATGGTTCCGGCATTCGCACCAGTAGATTTAAAGTTAATCAGATTCCGACTCTGGCAGCGCGCACACACCCATTCTAATCCCATCCCAGCTCACTCAGTTCTTAACGCCACTTTTGTGACACGATGTCCTTCTGGACGACAGTCTGTAATTGTACTAGAATAAATCATTGTCAGGTATCTTAATATTGTGAAAAACTTGTCAATAAATTTTTCAAAAATATTTTTAACCATTTTGATAAAACACACCCAAGTTCAGCATTTGAGGCAAATCAGAAATGGGGATTAAAATGCCAGAAAGACCAATAATAATATCGATCACCTGAGACCTTTTGAAAAGAATATTACCGAAAAAAATGTACATTTTAACCATTGTTGATGCATCTGCAACATTTTTAAGATACTTTTATTTGCAAAGTACAGGAGCAGAAGAAATCATTAAGATATTAGAATTGTTATTAGGTATATTTTAATATTGTTTTTAAACGTTGTTATGTAATTAAAAGCCGATAAATTTGTTTAAATATACGTATAATATTAACCTTAATTTAAAATACATATAAGTCGTATATAAAACGTTATTGTATTTAAACCTTTTAACGTTCCAAAAGAGGGCGCACCGAAAAACAGACTGTTCCAATTTTCTAAGTCGTAAGCGCTACGAGTAATATAATAATGAAACTTTATGAATCGTAGTTCAGTCAAGACAAAAGAAGCAGATTCATATTTATATATTTGCTTTAGTCTATGCTGTTTGAATATTACTTTGATTTTAGATGGAAGTTTAAATAAAGAGTTGTTTTACAACGTTTAACTATTGCATAATAATAAAAAATTAATTGCTATTT